GATGTGGCTGGATGTGTGGGGCAGCCCCGAGCTGTGCCTTGTGGTCTCACGGGTCCCCCACCTGGCACCTTTGGCCCTGGGTGCTGCCCCAGCCCCCTGGCACCTCCTCCCGCCCCTGTCACCTACTGGTTGTTCCCCACACACACCAAGCTCAGGTCTTGCCTCCTGGCCTTTGCACTGGCTGTTCTGTTGCTAGGAACGCCCTCCCCAGATCCACCTCCCAGTCCCCTAGTCATGCTCTGGCCGTGTTTACTTCTTTATGGCTCTGATCTCTGTGTTTGTGACTGCCAGGTGTCTACTGTGGCTCCTCCATCAGACTGGCTGCACCCAAGGGTGGGCACCCTTTTCTCCTCACTGGATTTCACAGATAAGGAAACAGAGGCCCCCAGAGGGGCAGCCACTGCCAGAGGTACCCAGGGCCGGCAGAGTCACCACTCGAACCCAGGTCTGACAGCAGCCCACTGGCACCTCTCCACGCCCTTCTCTCTTGCACCAACCTATCTCCCCCAGCCAGGTGCCCATGGCTTATCAGAGGCTGCCAGGGCCTGGGCTGTCTGCTGGGCCCAGATTAGCCTCTGCAGGGGCCAGGGTTTCCCTCTCCACCCCCATCAGGGCCCAGCATCTGCCTAGTGCCTGCTGCCCCCTGCCTGACCCCAGCACCCTGAGCCCAAGGCCTGGAGGGATCATTCTGATTCTACTTGTGTCCAGAACCTTCCCTTCCCGCCCACCCCAAATGGGCCACTTTAACCCCACATTGCACCATACCTTCCCCAGCTCACACCAGCCCCCCACGAAGTGTCCTCCCCCATGTCTGGGCTCTTCTTGGTGGCCAGTGGGTCCCCAAGTGTGAGCCCTGGCTCACCACTCCTCACTTTGCAGCCCAGGCAGCTGGCTTCCCTTCTCTGAGTCTCAGTTTCCCTATCCCTGGTCAGGTTCTGGTAGAGTCAGTGTGATCATTTACCTCACATTCCCTGTATACAGCAGGTGCTCAATACATGTCCAATGAAGACCGAATAGCCCTCCTCACCCGTGTCAACTCCCTTATTGGACTGTGCTTCCTTGGCACCCGGCCCACAGTGGGTGCTCCAGCAAAGCCAGCTGGTCAGAGGGAAGGATGCCTGACTCTCCAGTGCCTCCTGTGGGGGCGGGGCCCCATCCTCCGCAGGCCCCTCTACCAGTGCCAGGGGGGCTTGGCGCAGCTGTCCTCAGGCTCGGGCTCAGGAGGCTACCAGGCTCGGAAGATGATGGAGATTGGCTCACCTTAACCCCCATATCCATTCTGGGACCCCAGACCAGGTGTCCACCTCTCATATTGTGACGACGAGTGTCCCCCAGCTACACATGACCGGCGGCAACTGGATGGGTCCTGCTTTATTAAGAAGTGGCAAGGACCCCTCTCCCTGCTGTTCTGAGCCCGCCGGGGGCCTGGGGAGAGTTAGGGGGCCAGGGAACCAGAGGAAGCCCTGGGCTCCCTAAGCTCCACTCAGGGAGAAAGCAGGCAGCAGCCACCCCTGTCCAGACAGTCTGGGTGGGACGGGCCCCTGGCCACTCAGCCCAATTCAGCTCTGGCTCCTTGTACTCCAAGAGGCACAACCAGACCGGCCTTCCTGGATGGTGTGGAGGTGGCGGCCACACAATGGCCAAGATTGTGGGTCCGGTGGTGGGCATGGCCATCACCCGCAGTCTGAAGGGGCCACGGGTGGCCACCGGCAGGGGGAGCTCTGGGCTGCCTGGTCTGGGGCGCCAGGCTGGGGAGGCAAAGGTGGGGGAAGTGGGTGTATGGCTTGGGTGATGAGGCTAGGCAAGGCCTGCAGGGAGGTGCCCAGCGCATCCAGGCGGCTTTCGAGGGCAGCCAGGCGGGCCTCGAGGTCCTCGTGCTGGGCGTGCAGCTCGGACATGAGGTCGTACATGGCATTCTGCGTCTGTGAGAGACAGAGGTGGGAGAGAGAAGAGGCTGAGTGAGACAGAAGTGACAGACACACACACAGACAGTTGCAACTGTGAGGACATCCCCAGCCCTGCAGGTCTCCTGCTAGATCCCAGGAAATGGTGGGAGAATAGGTGAGGGACAGACAAGTTAGATGACAAGCTGGGGCCAGCAGGCCTGGGAAAGGCCACGGGCTGTACTGGGGAGGGTGGATGTGACCAGAGCTGCCCTGAGGGATTGAACTGGCCACATAACACAGACATTAGACTAGGGGTTGCATAGGGGTCTGGAGGGAGGTGAGTATCCAGAGGGTCTGACCCAATCACAGACCCAGGAACACGGCAGCCATAATCGCTGTTTGATGGGCGACGGGTGTCCCCACCACCTTTACTCCTCCCCACAAGGCAGCCAGCACGGGCCAGTTCCACTGTTCAGAAGGATCCACTCTCGCCACCAGGTGGCGCTAGAACATCGCCCTGCTTCTCTCACCCCAGCTCTCGGTGACCAGACCCGCAGGCGGAACCGGAGTCCTCCGCCCCTCCTAGGCTTTGGAGGGGAGGACTGGCTGAGGGGGGAAAGCACCCCCAACCCCTCGCTCCGCGGGAGAGAAATAGGATGAGGCGCCGATTACACACCTGCAGACTCTCCCAGCCACTCCACACCTTTGCCCTCCTCCGTGCCCTCCACCCTTTCTTCTGTTCCCAGCAGGCTGACCCCCCTGGGGCTCGGGGAGGCGAGGGGGGTGGGGGGGACACAAACCCCTCGGAGCCCCTCCTAGGGCCACTGACCTTCACCCCAGCCTGCCTCAGGAACCACAGTCCCCAGGGTCAGATGGAAATATCTGGAGGCATCCAACACTGGGGTGGTTCATTTTGGCCCTCTCTGAGATTTAAAAAAAATTGTTTTAAATTTAGGATATACAGGATGTCCCCAAAAATGTATACACACTTTGAATAATTAATTACAATGGGTTAAATCTGAAAAGAAAGAAACACCATTGAGCTATTAGCTGTAAAGTGTGTATACATTTTTATGGGCCACCCCATATATTTTATTTTTGCCAGAGAAATACAAATTAAATTAGCAACCTTGGAAAGGCAAGCAGAAAAATTTGATTGGAAAACATTTTAACCTTGTTTAATTAAAAAAAATTAAAACCCATATAATCCAATCTAATTAAAGACTGAATTCAAAGAAGCTTTTGTACAATGTATTTTGAGAGTATACCACCATGATTACAAGGTTTATATAATTTGAAAATTAAAATTTCAATAATTTGTGCTAAAGAAGTGTAATATGGATAATTCAAATTATAATTCCTAGTATCTGAGTTTTTCCAAGGCATGTTATATTTATAGCTATAATCTCATATGACATCAAATTAGTTGGCCAATGATTTTTATATTCTCTTAGGGTTATGTTCTAGTTTCTACTAGCAATTGATTTATTTATTGTTAAAACAGGTTTTTATTGATTTCAGAGCGAGGAAGGGAGAGGGAGAGAGAGACAGAAACACCAATGATGAGAATCATCGATCTGCTGCCTCCTGCACATTCTCTACTGGGGATCAAGCTTGCCACCGGTCATGTGCCTGACGGGAATGCAACCGTGACCTCCTGCTCATAGGTTGACGCTCAACCACTCGCTGAGCCACACCAGCCGGGCTGAATTATTTCTTCAGGGTTCTAGAATTTTTTCCTCTGTAATGTTCCCTTCCAAGTTAATTTTATGTAGGTTAACATTAAATTACTTTGCAATCTCTTGAAATGAGGAAGAGAGCGAGTCCACAATGAGCTGGGTATAAGAAGTGAAATAGAATAGGACTTAACATCTTCTAAAGATAACATTAAAGTAGCTTCTAACTGATAATTGACGAGGGAGTGGGACCGATAGGCAAAGCTCACACATGAACTATTTATGAAGTATGCAACATTGTCAGGAGCAAGTTCTGAATCGTGTGAAAACATTCTAAGAGAAAAGCAGGAAAGAGGGTAGGACTTGATGTTTGAACCAACAAATAGATCCATTTATGACACAAACTGATCTTACTGAGCTTGTGGAATCAACTTTAATTTCCTAAAAGGTGTTGAGCTTTCTGTTGGTGCAATTATTTGAATTTATATCCACAGCAAAAGTACCACATCATCAATTTTGCCCATATATACTATTTTCTTAGATATTAATTTTTAAAAAATAAATAACACTAGCCCGGCCGGTTTGGTTCAGTGGTTGAGCATCAATCTATGAACCAGGAGGTCACAGTTGGATTCCCAGTCAGGGCACATGCCCAGGTTGCGGGCTCGATCCCAGTAGGGGGCATGCAGGAGGCAGCCGATCCATGATTCTCTCTCATCATTGATGTTTCTATCTCTCTCCCTCTCCCTTCCTTTCTGAAATCAATAAAAGTATATTTTTAAAAAATGAAACTACTGCCGATGTTAAAAGTAGCTTTTACAGATGTAGATTCCCGGAGTTCCTCTCACAGTCAGAGCTTCTGGTCACGGTGGACCCTTGCAGACAGGGCTGGTGTTCCCTGGTGGCTCTTGCCGCCCTGCATCCCTTGCCGGTGTCACCTGCCTGCCCTGAGAACCCCGGTGCTGTCCCTCCCTCGGCAGGAGCTGTGCCCTGTCCTTTACTGAAATGCCCCCTTTTCTCCCCAGAGACCCCACCAGCCCAGACCGGCCCAGGGAGCCATCCCACCTGGCCCACCTTGCTCACCTTGGCCAGCTCTGCGAGTGTGTTGGCCTGGTCGTTCAGCTTTCCCTGCTCAATCTTCACACTCCGGAGCCTGGGGACAGGTGGGTGGGTGGGGTTGTGTGGAGGATACATTGTTGGGGGGAAGGGGGAGTCCTCATGCACTTGCCCCACCCAGGGTTGCCCTGTGGGACATGCAGTGGGGAGATGAGGTGGGGGTTGGGGCCTGGCCCCTTGCAGCCCACTCCCTCCCCACATGTAGGGGGCAGCAGGGCCTGGGAGGCAGCTCAGCCACCACCCAAGTGACCACCGTCTGGCTATGTCCACAGGGCCCGAGTCCGGATGTCTCGGTAAAGCCTGCACTGGTCTGCAGGGTGGACACAAGCCTTGGCCGCCTCCAGGAGCTGCCCCGGGGATGCACCCTGACCCATGACCACCATGCACCCCTGACCCTCAGGGAGAGACTTACTTCTGAGCTCTGGCAGGACCCGGCGGAGCAGAGAGAAATCACAGGGCAATTTTAATCTCAGCACTTGCTGGCAGCTCATGCCCAATGCTGCCATCCTCCCACATGCTGACCCCTGGACCCGAGGGGCTGTTGCCCTTGCTCTGCAGAGGGGCTCAGCTTCTGAGAGGGCAGTGCCAGCCCCCCAGAGATGCATCTGTCCTCTGCCCCCTCCCTCGAGCAGTATCCCCCCAGCCCTGGCCAGGACAAATGCAGCTGCCCTCGCTCTGCAACTCTGCTGTCTGCCAACCTGTGCCAGGCACCTGGCCCTAGAGGTGACTTTTAGTCCAGGAAACTATACCCATGATGTTTCCTAAGGGGGAAACTGAGGCTCATAGCGGCAAAGCCAATGGCTGGTAACACCCTGGCAGGATCTGGTCAGCCTCTATGCCCTTGGCCTCCAACAGCTGCCCGAGGCGTGGGGCATGGGCCTGTGTGTCCTTGCCCTTCCTCTCCATGCCTCTGTAGTTAAACTGGCCAGGAAAATGGTTCCAGGTAAGACTCTCTTCTTCACTGGTTCAAACTCAGCCCGTGTGCCCACATGCGATGGATGCATGGGGAGGCCCCTCGGGGCCCACCATGCTGAATACTGCCGGGGCCCCCAAGACCCAGCCCTCAGTCTGGAGAAACGGAGGTGAATACAGATGGCCCCAGAAGGCTGCTGAGGAGCCCTGACGTGCCTTCCCTGGGGAGTCATTCTTGGCTTCTCTATAACCTTTCTGTCATATGGGTTGAATGGTGTTCCCCACACAAGATATATTGAAGTCCTAACCCCTAGGACCTCAGTATGTGACCTTGCTTCACCAGGTTAAGGTAAGTCACTGGGGGGACCCTAACCCAATATGATTGGTGTCTTTATACAAAAGGTAGAGTCTGTACACAGACACGCACAGATGGAGGACAATATGAAGACGCAGGAAGAACAGCACATGAAAATGACCACTGGAGCGATGCATCTGTCAGCTAAGAGCGCCGGATGCTGCCAGAAGCCAGGAGAGAGCCCTGGAACAGATCCTCCCTGGCACCTTCAGAGGGAACACGGCCCTGCTGACACCTGGATTTTGGTCTTCTGGCCTCCAGGACAGTGATCATAAATTCTGCCGCTTCAAACCACCCACTTATTACAGCCAAGGAGACACGCACACTCCCCACTCCATCTTCTCCGAGACCACCTCTTCCTTTCCTCTGGCTTTGCACACAGCGCTCCCTTCGGGGGCCTCTCCAGCTCAAGGACGTGCCCCGGCTGCCTCCTGTGTGCAGAGCAGACCTCGTTTCCCTGGCGTGTGCTTGAGCCCACCGCCTTGCCTTCCTCAAGCTGTGGGCACTCCTTGGTATGCAGCCTGCCTCTCAGTTTCCGACTCAGATCTTATCCACCCTCAGGCCCTAGTGCACACTTGCTTGACTTCATCATCTGTTCTTACAGGGCTACTGTTTTTGGTGGGGGGTGGGGGTGCAGGGGGATCTAAAGGTGAGTGCAACAGTCCTGCCCCAGAACAGATGGTCACAGATCATTCACAGAGCAGGTGCCTTCTCCCCAGACCTGGCTCTCCTCAGTTCTCATACCCCTGCTTTCCCCAAAGAACTTTCTGGAACATCCCATAGGGCAAGATCCAGTGTCTAGTGTCCCCTACACCGGCTGGTGCAGGAAATGCTTGTGGAATGACAAAACGACCAGATCGAGGGCGGAAGTAACCACAACTCCAGTTCCTATATTTAGAAAACACTGTGTGGCAGTCAGGCCCAGGTGAGTCATCGGTCATCCGGACTGTGTTCGATCTGCATCACACTCCTGGGAGAGAGGCACATCACCATCATCTCCGCTTTACACATAAGATACTTGGAGTAGTGTAGTCACCGGTCCAGGCCCCACTGTTCGGTGGGAGAGACCGATTGGGAACCAGTGGTCAGCTAACAACTATGGGAGAGTCAGCAAGGAGAGGTCCCTGTCCTCAAGGGTCTCAAAGTCTTGTGAGGAGGCAGGACTAACACCTGGGCACAGTGAAGTCAATGGGATACCAGCTCCTCTCCCGGGTGGTTCAGATGGTGGTGGAAGCAGAGGCAGAGAGCAGGGGCTGGGGGTGAGGTGGACGCTCTGTGCTACCAAGAGGTTGCTCTGTGCTGGGGACCCTGCCAGGCATTTCTGCGAATCATCTCATTAGACCTCCCGAAGTCCTGGGGAGTGGGGATTATCATCACTAGGAAGCAACCCAATTATAACAGCAAACACAATACATAGCTGCTCTGTGCTGGGGACCATGCCAGGCATTTCTGTGAATCATCTCATTTAGACCTCCCGAAGTCCTGGGGAGTGGGGATCATTATCATTAGGAAGCAACCCAATTATAACAGCAAACACAATACATGTAAATGAACTAAACTCCCCAGTTAAAAGACAAGGATGGAAAGCGGCATAAGAAAACTTTTGGGGGGATGGATCTGTTCATTATCTTCACTGTGATGATCGTTTCATGGGTGTGAATATATGTTCACACTCATCGAACTGTACACTTTCAGTCGGTGCAGTTGACTATGTCAATTATACCCCAATAAAGCTGTTTCTAAAAAAGAGGTAAACATGATTGAACAGAATTAAACAATTAAAGCCCAGCTGGTGAGCCTCTTCTCCCATGGCCTGGTCTCTCCCTGGTAAGTGGTCATTCTCCTTTACCTCTGGACGCCCAGGCTCTGGGCTGCCCCAGCCGCACCTGGGCTCCCTGCTCTTTCCACCTCCCCATCCCACCGCTCACACTGGTGTTCCCTGTGCGGCCTCTTGGTTATGGTTGAGTCGGTTGCCTTCCTGCTGCACTAGCTCAGACCCTAACCCTGTTCATCTCACTCTAACTCATCAGCCCCTGAGTCTGGCCTGCGAGCTCTGGGGGCAGGAGCCTTCTCGGTCACCGAGGAGAAGCCACTTGTGAATGGGTTTTCTTATGATCTGAGACTCGGGAACTCTCTTCAGAGAGGCTCATTCTGAAAAGTGCCTAAGAACGTGTTTTTACTCTTTTAAAAAAAAATCAGGTGCCACGTGACTCAACCCCACAGAATTTGGAGCTGTTTAAATTCTAGACAGGGTGCTGTCTCATGCATCCTATATGTGGCACTTGAAATGTGGTCAGTCCGAATAAAAACAAGCTGTAAGTGTAAAATATGCAATGGACTTTGAAGATTTAGTACAAAAAACTTTATAAAGTATCTCAATGATTTTTTAAACCTTAATCACATGTTAAAATAATAATAATTTGGATACACTAAATAAATATATTAATTTTATTTTACTTGCTTCCTTTTGCTTTTTTTTAAAAAATGTGGCTACTAAGAAATTTGAAATTATAGATGCAGCTCATATGATATTTTTAGTGGACAGTAACTGGCATTTCATATCCTGTGAGATTTCATATCCTGTGAGCCAAACCTGGCAGATGCCTGTTTTGGGAAATAACCTGTAGCACACACACACCCATTCATCTCCACTGCCTTCCTGTCACAACAGCAGAGCAGAGTAGAGACAGATGATCTGGTCCACGACTCAGGGAATATTTACTATCCGGCCCGTTACAGGAAAGGTTGCCAACTCTGGCTGCACATCTGACTCACCTGAGGAACTTAAGCTTAAACCCAGGCTAATCCCAGACTGTAGTGTAACTGGTGTGGGGTGTGGCCTGTAGGATTTTTAGAAGCCAGTTGAGTGACTCCAACGAGCAGCCAAGGATGAGAACTACTTGAATAAGTAATTCTCAGGACAAAGGGACAAAAGAGGAAATTAAGTAATTTCTAATTATTCCACACGAGCTTATAGATCAGGCCACAGATTCTGAGCTTCCTGCCAGCCAAAGCAAAAAGGGGACATTGCTTCTGTGTCTAAGGCAGCCGTGGGCAAACTATGGCCCACGGGCCGGATCCGGTAGTGTCTAAGGGGTACAATCATTCGGGCTATTCCAGGGAATAAAATATGCCTCTTGCCATTTATGTTGGATGGACTGCATGCCTTATCAAAGGTGATTTCCCTGGACGAATGCTGGGCCCATCATATATCTCCCTCTGGCCATCCCCACTACCCCATCCAACAGAAGCTGCTGGCGCCAATCAACTGACCACCTAGCATAGGAGGGCCATGATGAGGCCAGGCTGGGCTGTCTGGCCTGGCCCTCGGCCTCTTCCCGTGGGGGGTGTCACGCTGCCTCCGCCCCAGGCGGACACAGAAACGTGAGTGGGAAAGGTGCTGGACTTACTGATGGATGGCTTGGAGGAACTTACGCTGGTGTTTCCGAACCCGGGCGTAGTCTGGCTTCTTCACCAGCCTGGTGTGTTTGTAGATGAGCCACGTCTCCCTGAGAACGTTAGCAGCGGCATTTTTCACCTGGGGCCAGAGAAAGAACAGTTCCCCATTTCACACGTGGGGAAACCGAGGCACAGTCAGGTCAACCTGCCAAGGTCAGCTGGTAAGTTGCACGTGGCTGCCTGGCCCCATCATTCCTGCCTCTCACTGCCTGGCCCGCGGCGGGGCTGTGACTGGGCACACAGGTGGACACCCGTGGCCTTCACCACGTCTCTGTGCACAGCTCACGGGCGTTCTCACACATGGCAGAGCCGAATGCGGTGTGGGCATGCACAGGGCAGGGTGGTGACCTGTGGGCACATGGGTGCGCCTACAATGGGCAGAAGGCGGGGAGGGTCTGCCCTTGATGGTCAGGAGCAGAGGCGGCCGTGAGCGGGGCTGGCACCCTTACCCGCTTGGTGAGCTGTGTGTCCATCATGAAGTTGTGCACGTGTTTCTCTGCCTTGGTGAGCTCCAGTTTCCGGGCCACCACAGCCACCACGAGCGCTGTACAGCCCGCCCCCTGCGTGAGGAGGGTGGGAGCACATCAACATCCTGCTTTATGTGGATCCTAGGCCAAAGCAGGACACGCTCCCTCCTCCAGGAAGCCTGTCCTGATCCCACCTTTGACTTTACCCTTCATGCCTGCAGTGTTGGCAGAGTTCACTGACTCCCGACCCCATGTGCTTTATCCGTCAAATGTCAGGGGAGCGTGTCCCACAGATCAGCTCATTTTATCCCAACGACTCCATTCTTATCTCCATTGGGCAGAGGGGGAAACTGAGGCTCGGAGATAAGAAAGGGACGAGGAACAGCAGGACCTGCAGGCAAGTTTGGGGCCGATGACCATGGAAGCGGGAGGATTTAGAATCTGCCAGGGCTTTGGGTCTGGGTATTGGGGACAGAGACTGGGCTAACAGGTTATTGAAAGGTAACGAGGGTCAGCGGACAGCGAGAAGGGACTGTCAGGGGAGGGCCAGCCAGCTGCCCACAGTGGGGCATCTGCAGAAGGGAAGAGGCAATGCACAGGTCCCAGCAGGCGGGGAAGTGGGGAAGGGTGCCTCCTCATGTGGTTCCCTGGTGGGTGCCACCACTCTCCTCAGGGTGCCCTTAGTGGCAGCCCAGCCTGGAAAGGAGGTCACTGGGGGCTTCTGGGAGGGACAGGGGGCAGGAGCGAGGCGCCAAGGAGGAGGGAAGGGCAGGTAAGGAAGGGGCAGCAAAAGGCAACACAGGAGGAAGGAAGTGGGGGAGAGGGGAGGCTCTGCCACTGAGAAGTGGGGTCCAGGGAGCCTAGGACACTTAGCAGGTGTCATCAGCCTCAGAAGTGACCAGGAAGTAGGCGGCAGGGGCTGGGGATGGAGCCAGAAGTTGGTTCTCTGCCTGCGCTGGAGGCTGTCCCTGGTGCTTCACCTGCCAGCTGCTTCCTCCTGCGGCTGCTGAGTACAGGGTGGAGGAGGGAGAAACCCCGGCTTGGGCCCTGAGGGCTGGGGCTGGGGGTGTGGCTGGCACTAGTTCAATTTTTCTCAGGGGTGGAAGGAAACATGGGGAGGAGTGGACAAGGGCCAGGGACACTGTCAAACTCTCCTGGTTGGCCACCATGCCCGGCTTGGTGAGGTGGGCACCAAGGTACCCTCCAAGGAAACCCTGATGAGGGTTCCTGGTCAGGGCAAGGGCGTTGGGAGGACCCACGAGCCTGTTCTCAGGAAAAGCCCTGCGATTAGGGGCAAAGTAACAGGTTGGGGACCTGCACGTGGCGGACTACACGGCAAGGAAAGAGAACAGATGACCGCTCTGCACAACAGCACAGCTGCCACGCTGAGCAAAAGACGCTGGGCTCAGAGGCAGCCCCGCTGGGAGACCTTGAAGTTCAAGAATAGGGAAGCACGTGGTTGGTGAGACAGGGACGGGGATGAGTGTGTGAGCAGTGACCGGGAGGGGGCGCGCTGGGCACAGATGGAGCAGGAGAGCTAACAGAGTAGCTAAAGGGACCCAAGCATGACCTGTGTGTGCGTGTGCATGTGTCTGTATGTGTGTGTGCACGTGTGTGTGTGCACACGTGTGTGTGTGTGTGTGTGTGTGTGTGTGTGTGTGTGTGTTGGGGGCGAGGGCTGGGAGTGAGCTGTAGGCTGGACATGAACCTGGTTTTCTGGAAGGAGCCGCATCCCAGAGAAGAGAACACGGCTTTTCCATTTCACTGAGGGTTTTCTGGATTTGAACTCATTTATCTGAGTGTTTTTGTTTATTTAGAAAGTTCATTTGCTGGGAGAGGGGGAGGGATTGGCTGAGCGTTACTTCCCCCCCTTCCACTGTCACAAAATAACATAAGCAAAGTGCACGATGCCGTTTCACCAGAGAGGGGCCGCTCAGCTCAGCCAGGAGGAGGGCGGCCTGGTGGGGAGGCAGGAGGAAGCCGACCCCCAGCGGCGGCGTCCAAACAGGAGGGAGTGAGAAGTGAAGAGGAACAGAGCAACTGGGCTTCAGGTTTCAAGAGATGGTGACAAGTGGGGACAGTGCGTCCGGAGAAGGGGGCTGTGCGGAGCCTCTGTGACGGCCCTTCCTCCTGCAGGAGGACAGGAAATGGTGGTGGGGATGGCGTCATGTTTTTGCAAGAACAAACGCCTGTCTGTGTGGTACAGCTTGTGACGGTGACCTCCCTGTCGGGGGGGGGAGGGTGTGTGCAAGGGCCCGGCCTTACCATGATGCCGGTGAGCAGGCACACGCCTTTCCCGCAGTAGGTGTGTGGCACCATGTCTCCGTAGCCAATGGAGAGGAAGGTGATGGAGATGAGCCACATGGCCCCCAGGAAGTTGCTGGTCACTTCCTGTTTATCGTGGTACCTGGGAGAGTAGGGAGGGCTGGTCAGCCCGACTGGTCCCTCCTCCTTCACTGCACCCCCTTGGGCAGTGCCTTGAA